GATGTGACATACACTGTACTTGATTCTAGCTTCCTGCTAAGGCAGACCCTTCAAGAATCTTCTGGACCTGGTGTCCATTTGGATTTGGTTCTTTCTTGATTTATCAGGATGAGTTAAAGAAATGTCAGATGTTTGGGCCTAGTACAATGACTCAAAGCTAAATCAACCTCCAGACCTGGCTGTAGCCACATGGGCACCAGTTCATGTCCCTCCTGCTCCAGTTCCCACCCAGCTCCCTCTTTTGTGAACTGGGAAAGCACTACTGGATGGCCCAAATGCTTGTGACCCTGTGCCAATGTGGAAGACCCAGAAGAAGCTCCTGGCTCTTGACTTGGGATTGGCTCAGCTCCAGCTGTTATAGTCACTTGGGGAGTGAACTGGCAAATGGAAGATCTTACACTTTTCTCTGTTACTCTGCCTTCTCAATAAAAACAAGTACATCTTACAAAGAAAAAAGAAATGGCAGATGTTTGAATATTTGTAAACTTCAAGACCAGCAACTTTTTCACACTACAAATTAACGTACATTGATTACATGGAAAGAATACTCTTGGAACCTTTATAAGTTTTATACCAAAAATAAGTGCCCAGGGCCCAGCGCGGAGGCACAAGTGGTTAAGGTCCTCACCTTGCACGCCCGGGATCCCATATGGGCGCCAGTTCTATCCTGGCAGCCCCGCTTCCCTTCCAGCTCCCTGCCTGTGGCCCAGGAAAGCAGTCGAGGACAACCCAAAGCTTTGGGACCCTGCACCCGCGTGGGAGACCCGGAAGAGGCTCCTGGCTTCGGATCGGCATAGCATCGGCCGTTGTGCTCACTTGGGGAGTGAGTCATCGGATGGAAGATCTTCATCTCTGTCTCTCCTCTCTGTATATCCGCCTTTCCATTAAAAAAAATAAATTAAAATAAATCTTTAAAAAAAAAATAAGTGCCCAAAGCAATGTTTCGAAATAAAGTATTTGTGGCTGATTTCATGAAAGAAAATGGTTTAGCAACATAGCATTTTTATATGAATGCTATTGCCTGTGAATGTATTAATGTACGCCAGGTTCCTGGGCCTGCTGAATGTGTCAGATATTACTTTCAAATTTCCTCCGTCCTTTCCATTCTGTGTCACAATCAGGAACATTTAGTACAATATGCCTTTCATAAAAGTGTTCATGCTTTTTACATAGAAACTTTGGGTGTGTAATTGCTTATTTAGATTTTAAAAGACATATTTTCATTTATGAAATCCTAAAAAAAAAACATAAACATGGTACCTAGGATATTTAAAATTTGGTGAATTAAATGGGGTAAGGCCATGGCCAAAGTTATTGCACAGTAAATGATTAGTTTGATACATGCTTTCAGTTGACCATAAATGCATTTTTACGCAAATTTAAAAATAATTGTGTTATATTTTAAAATTTCATTCAAGCCCTTCTATTGTTTAATTCTAAAATCACCATCAAACTCAACATCAAATCAAAGATTTTTAATGTTACATAGAATGAGAAATCAGAATGTGTTATTAAGGCAAGAAAAATACCACCTAGTTGGAAAACACAATGCTTTTTGAAAATATATAAGAGGTTTTAAGGTAATAAGAATTATTCCAAGAGGCTACAGCACACAAAGCGTAATCACAGGAAGTGACAACATTCAGATATCATCAACACTTAAGGAAACAAAGCTGAGAGACTAACTGTTCGCCTCGAGGAACAGAGGGAACTGCTAAGCAGAAACAGGAAGACTAACGTCCCGTTTTTCTTCTGTGATAGCAACAAGGTTATCATTATTTTAATTTGCTTTCAGTTAGAATTGAAAAGCATTACTCTTTGTGGCTTCCAGAGCTTACTTTAATATAACTAATTGAAAACATTATATTTTAAAATTTTAGTTCATCAAGTTCTCTTGTGCAGTTGTGGGGGCAAACTTTTTTTTTTTCAGAAATTATTGGATTGGCTTGAAATTTAAATAGCTTAAAACAGTATGTTTCTGTACCAAAGACTGATTCTGGCTCTTGTATAAGAATAAGTATATTTGGGCCCGGCGCGGTGGCACAAGTGGTTAAAGGTCCTCGCCTTGCACGCCCGGGATCCCATATGGGTGCCGGTTCTAATCCCGGCAGCCCCGCTTCCCTTCCAGCTCCCTGCCTGTGGCCTGGGAAGGCAGTCGAGGACGGCCCAAAGCTTTGGGACCCTGCACCCTCGTGGGAGACCCGGAAGAGGCTCCTGGCTTTGGATCGGCATAGCATCGGCCGTTGTGCTCACTTGGGGAGTGAATCATCGGACGGAAGATCTTCCTCTCTGTCTCTCCTCTCTGTATATCCGCCTTTCCAATAAAAAAAATAATAAAAATAAATCTTAAAAAAAAAAGAATAAGTATATTTTAAAATTTCTTTGGGGTTGGGGTTAGCATGGTGGCTCAACAGATTAATCTGCAAGCACCAGCATCACATATGGATACAGTTCTGTCATCTGGCTACACCTCTTCTCATTCAATTCTCTGTTATGGCCTGGAAAAGCAACAGAGGACCCTTGGGACCCTGCAGCCACATAGAAGACCTGGAAAAGGCTCTTTGGCTTGAGCTTCAGATCAGCTCAGTTTTAGCAACTGCAACTATTTGAAAATGAATCAGCAGTTTTAAGACCTCTCTCACCATCTTTCCTTCTCTGTATAATCTGCCTTTTCAATTAACATAAATAAATGTTATTAAAAACATAAAACCTTCTCTCAGGCTACTATCATGGTGAAGTAGGTTAAGCTATTGCCTAGGATACTAGCATAAGATGCTGGAATGCTCATCCCAGTCCCATTGTTCCAATTCCTATCCAGCATCGTGCTAATGTGCATAGGAGGGCAGGAGATGATGGTTCGTTTGCCTGGGCATGTGCCTAGGACAGTAGGATAGGATTTTTGGCTGTGGCCTAACACAGCCCTAGCTGTTTCAGCCATTTGGGAAAGTGAACCAAAGGATAGAATTCCTCAATCTCTCTCTATCTCTCTCTCTCTCTCTCTTTCTCTCTCTCTCTTTTTCTCTGTTGTTCTTTCAGATAAAGAAACTGCCCTGCCACACTTGATGCAGTAACCTAGCAACAGCTAAATTCCTCCCCTTGCATGCACCTAGGTGACCCCACTTCCCATCCAGCTCCCTGCTTGTGGCCTGGGAAAGCAGTTGAGGATGGCCCAAGGCCTTGGGACCCTACACCCATGTGGGAGACCCAGAAGAAGCTCCTGGTTTCTGGCTTTGGATTGGCTCAACTCCTACAGTTGCGGTCACCTGGGGAGTGAATCATGGGACAGAGATCTTTCTGTCTTTCCTTCTCTGCATAATTCTGGCTTTCCAATAAAAATAAAATAAATCTTTAAAAAAAAGGAAAAGAAAAGAAAAAGGAACTGCTATGCCATCATTGTAAGCAGTGCTACAAGTCACTACCACAACATTGTACCACCTCCCTCAAGGGGATCTTAACCATTATGTCAAATGTCTACTTCAGACTCACCTTCTTAATTTCATTTCCATTAACTTTTTAAAGTATCCTCATGTATCATATAGCATTCGCAAATATTGATTAGCATTAGAATTGATTAAACAAATAAATAAGGGGTCAATGAAAATTTTTTGACCTGCTGAGCCACAGTGCCAGTTCCCTCATTTGTAATCCTGACATTGCCTGCAAAACTGAAGAAATGCTTAAGTACTGCATTAAGAAACTTACTTTGAAAAACCTGAACTCTGCCATTCTAGTAAGTCATTATTCTGCAAATCTGTCTTACAAAAAAGTTGTAGCAAGTTCTGCTGTTCCTTATTCTACAACAAGTTGTATTTCTTACATTATTATAATTAAAATGGTTTCTAAGCGACTATTCTTTGATGGACTATATTATTTTATGTAGATTACCATAAAGTTTAAATTCTACTCCTCCCCCACCAAATTTCTTAAATTAGTTAATTAAACCATGACAAACCTAAAGGAAAAAAATATTGTTTGAAAATAAAAAATGCTTTACAGCTAACATATAACATTTTGAAACAGTACAAAAGTATATTAACAGCATGTAAAATTTCAAAAATAGTATGCTTTAAATGAGCCAGTATAAAAGAACAAAATATTCTTAAAAAAGAAAAAAGTCACTAAAAGTATGAGTTTATTTGGTGTTTTAAAGGAAGCATGTTTAATAGGATAGTATTCATTAGTGAATTATAAACTTAGTGTAAGTTAGTTAAAATTTATCTATAAACAGTTTTAGAAACTCCTTTAAGGCTACTGTTTTCCAATTTTTCTCTTTTTCTGAAAATGGAAAATAACTATTTGTTATTACTTATCTCAACAGTTAATATTCAACAAATGCCTTAAAAAGCTGAATGTTTTGAATCCCCAAGTGAATGAAATAATGGCATTTCTGAAACTTTTATTTCTGGAGTATAAATTGTAAGATGACCTTTTATTTTTCATTTTGTCTATGAAAACTATAAATCTATTTGTTTTTAAGACTTACTGATTATTTGAAAGGCAGAGGAAGAGACAGAGATCTTCCATGCACTGGCTCACTCCCTAAATCGCCACACCGTTGGGACTAGGCTGGGCTGAAGCCAGGAATTTCTTCTAGGTTTCTCTCTAGGAACAGGGGTCCATGCACCCAGGCCATCTTCTGCTCCTATCCCAGGCACATTAGCAGGGAGCTGGTTCAGAAATACAGAAGCAGGAATTCGAATCAGTGCCTATATGCAATGCCAACATCACAAGTGGTGGCTTAACTTGCCATAGCACAGCTCTAGCACCAAAACTAAATCTTATCACTTACATTAAACTCCTATCTAATTTATTTAAAATATAAAGGGGATGGAAAGTAAGTATAATTCTAGCTCTCTTTTCAAGTTTCAGAAAACAGCCTTTTCACTGATCGGCTTAACCTCCCCCAAAAGCCAAATGTTGTTGCTTGATTGCTATCACACCTGAAGTAAATTAGCACTATTAAAATCATATCACAATTGCAGAGATATTAAATAACTTGCCTAAAGTCGGAAGTGAGTCAGACACAGCTCAGGCCTGGTCCAGTCACTCTGCTGCATTGAATCCTCAAACTGGGCTCAGCATTTGTCATTGTTTCTCCATTATTTGATTAGAAATAGGGGGCAGTGTTGATTTTGGCTTTAGCCCAGTAACAAACGTAAGAGAAAATAAGCTAAACAAGAAGGTTAATAAAAAAGAAATATTAAACAAAGAACAAAGAGATTCAAGGGCAAATTCCAACACTGCTATTTTCTTTCTTATACTCCCGTGTGTGATTCTATAAACGATTTAATGATATACATTTACAAAAATGCTATTTTAAAACTCTCAGAATTGCACTGATCCGGAGAATTCTTGTACTTTAACTCCAGTAATGCGCAGCTGAAGATTACAAAATACCAAAGTCCAGCTGAAGCTTTGCTTTGTAAGTACAAAGGGCAGTTAAATTTTATCTACAAAGACATGAATTCAATGGTAGTTTCAACCAAAATATGGAAAGAAGCCAATCTTTTCTCAGTGATAGAAATGTGGCAGGCAAATACTTGTCAAGATGAAAGAGTCATTGTACTTGATCTTTAAGAAAAGCAAAAGCATTCCCTGAGGTAGAAAATTGTGTAATTATTTATCTGTATGTATCAATTGTACTCTAATCAAGTTATTTCTTTTATTTTAAAATCGTCAAGATGTTTTTCTAGTGTGTAACAGTGACTGCTTAGCAGTATTAATCATTTAATGTAATTATTTGGCCTGGACATCTAGGTCCCTCGATTTTGTTTTTCATTCTGACGTAATTCAAGCAGTTGTTTGCTATTTGTTCTGTGGTTCCCATGCCTTAACTCAGTTTCCAGTAAGATTCCAAAGTTCTATTTTCTTTCCGTTCTTTGATATTTACTAGACTCATGCATTCCTGGTATTTGGCCTTTCTGTTAAAAATTACCTTGCCACTCATTCAGAAGTTTTAAAGCTTATTGTCAAAAAGGCAATCCCGATGATATACAGCAGAGAAAGTCAAGCTGAAGAGATACACATGCAGAAGTGGAAATGATTCATTCATGTTTGCAAGGAAATCACACCATTAACATTTCAAAAGCAAAACCATGGGAGTATCTGGCTGATTTAATAATTATCTCTATGATAAAATGAAACCTTTTTAAATTCAATTTTTTCCTGTTTGTTTTGCCTTTGCCTTTTCCTAATTCAAACAATCAATAAATTCCATGTTCACTTTTTCAGAGGAGGGACAGTAATGACAATAATAATGGCTGACAAATGTTCACCCTTGTGTGCTGGACACAGTAATAATTCTAATAACTCACAACTGCTCTGAGTCAGTGTTCGGATGATTCCCACTTCACAAATGAGGAAACTGAGGCGCAGAGGTTGGAATAACTCACCCAAGATCATACCACCAGCAACAGGCTGAATCTGGGTACAAAGGCAATCCAGCCCAGGATCGATGTTTTTCACCATTACTCAGAAATCTGGAGATATCTGGAATCCAATCAGACAGTGACAGGAGCTAGGGTCCATGTTCGGTGGCGGTAAGCCAGAAACTGAAGTTGCCGGGAGCTAGAGTATCCTTTAATTCACGATGCTTTCTCAGAGATGATAGAATCAGACATGGTGGAACAACTGCCACTGAGAAAGGTCAAAGCTGTGGCCTTGCACAGTTGAACCAAAGCTGTTAAATGACATTAGAGGAGCAGGCTGGATCCCGTGTTTGAGGAGCTGAATGTTCAGGGTACATATCTTATGGCACAGTTTGTAAAAGGGGCTTCACTAAATAAGACTGGCAGATAGTGGAAGACCATATGTCCCATGTTTGTCTCAAAGTTAGATTTTATACACTTACTGTTAAAGTAATTAGTCTTTGGGGGAAAATGACTCACATCTAACGGTCTCTCCAGAAATCTATAAGACGAGAGACACTGAAATGCTCATTTAGAAAAGGAGAGAACTGTTTTGCAAGGTACGCTATTTGGCTAATTGGCACCGAAAACCTCCTGTGGGCAGGAGAGTAAGACCCGAGTAATCACCCTAGAGAGTAAGTAAGCTGAGGGAGTGTTGAACCATGAAAAATATGAATACAGGACAATAGGTCATTTTGTAGGCTTTTTTTCTTATAAAAGAAAGTGGTTAGCTATACTTTTCTTTGGCCTGAGAATATTTCCATTAGACAACAGTATGATTCTGCCAAGTTCAGGCTGCTCTGCCTCTCAGAAGATTAGTGGAGTACTGACAAATGGTTTCTTTCTGCTTTTGGAAAACTTTATTTGAATAACCCTTCAGTTAACATATCAATCGCAGCACAATTACCATTCATACCCTCTGACCCTGGCTGGTACTGTGTATGCTGAGCTGGACACCTGTTCGTTGTGGGGTACCTGACCCAGTCCCATTGGGAAGGTTTAGTTTCAGGTCTTCCCACTCAATCCAGTCAAGCCTGCAGCGATGACATTTAGGAAGCTCTCAGGCTCCCTCAGGAACCAGACTCCTAACTGATCTTACATGCTGTAGTGTATTCTGCAGCCATACCTCTCTGATGGTTATGCTTCCAACGTTTTCTCCCAACTTTGTGGAATACTCCTTTTCTGGTACTTTGTGGTCTGAATACCATGTTAACACTTTAAACTTAAAATGTGCTCTTTATCCAAATATTTAGAACGGGGCATATTTTAATTATTGGGAAAGGAGTCTTCATTTCAGATCCTACTAGTGTCTCCTTAAGCGGAAGTAATAATACTCCTTCCATTTGGATATTATCTCAGGCAAAGTCCTGAAAAAGAAAAATTTACTGTCAGTAGCATGAGTAGGTCTGAGAAATTGCTATAGAAAAGCACTTTTTAATGGGTAGAACTAAACCAATTTTACTAGTGAATTACTCTAACTATTGTTAATGTAACTAGTGGAAAGTTTAAATTAATAGATGCCAGATAAATAATTTCTGAATTAATCAATCTGCATCATGTCACAATGAATGCAATAGTCAAGTGTTCATTGCTTCATTTTACTGAAAATTGGGATCTGCCTTGCTTTTGATGTTGTGTTGTTGCTCAACATAAGCCCTTGAATATGTCAGTTTATTTCTAAATCTCAATATTCCTCTCTATAAAACGAACCCACTGCATCAAATGGGCCTTAAGATCCACCCCCTATCTGAAATACTTTTCTGAATAATCACTGTTAAGCAAATAATTAACTATACTAGAAGATAACCTGAAAGAAGATTGAAGTTATCAGAGTGAAGACAATTCATGGATTAGCAGGCAGCATGGATAGCTTATTTATCAATTTAATAGGAGAGCAATTTGGTTTGGACCTGAAGCTTGGACACAGAGTTCCCAAGGGTGACAGATCTTCTTCACAGCTGACAGTGACAAAACTGTGTCAACTATTGGATTGGAAAAAAACCTCTATTATTGGCCAAAAAAAAGAAAAGCTGATTACTCTGTTCCTGTCCAACTCCTGGCATTCTGGGCCATGGTTGTTCCTTGAAATGCTGCTATTGCCACTGAGAAGATTTTGATATGGTAGTGGTAGTAGTTGTAAACAGAGGCAACTTTCTTCCCTCATCTAACCCAGACTTTAACATAAGCCCTTCTTAAACCTCAAGACAAACTTTTAGCGGCTGCAGTGTTTAGAAAATCATTCTGAAGCCTTGGGGATAATGGATCATGGAAGGAAATCAGTGCAAGGGAGAAACATGTCAACAGGGACTTGGCAGTTACTAATCTCTTCTGTATTGGGGCCTTGCTTGGCCCTTATTCATGGTCTTAGAATACTGTCATGTTGAAAGGACTGCACATCCCCTCAGCTAGAAGTGTGCTCAGCCAGATTCTATTTTATTTTTTCTCTTGCCTCATGAAAGGAAAAAAACAAAATGTCTCCCTCTACAGCTAGAAGAATAGTAATATTATCAAAAACAAACACAAGTATAGCTATTCTTACAATAAAAACAGTATTTTTAAGATGATTATTCAGAAAAATTTTACCTTTTATTTTGGCCAAGTTCTCACTTCAAAAAATAATCTGAACTTTGTGTGTGTGTGTGTGTGTGTGTGTGTGTGTGTGTAAATTCACTGGTGTGTCATCCATTAAAGAAAGCTACACACTTTCGTCTGTGTTCTGTACCCCATTACTAAAACAACAGCCAAGAAACAAAAAGGCATTAGCCCACAATGCCAGAGCAAATGGAAATGACAAGTGAGGAGGTAAAAGCTTACAGCTACCTTTCAGAAAACGTTTTGGAAGAATTATGAAATTCCAAGGTTAAAGTCAATGCTGAAAGTCAGGTTGATGGAGTTGATTCAAAGAGAGATATTTTTAAAAGCACATTGCTAAGCCATGTTATTCTTGTGCAGACATCATGGAATGAACTTACATAAATTAGAACAATGATGTCACTCAGCTGAGAAATCTAATCTTATGGGAACGCATTGTATATGTGATCTGTCATTGACTGAAAGGTACGGGGTCTGTAAGAACCATTCACCATTCAATGTAACTCTTCCTCTCCTTATTCCTTATCTCTATTTATTCCCAAGAAAATTTGATCTAGAAAGCATTTTGATTTGAGAGCACCAGCAACAACAGAGAATAGGAGCTATACACACAAATTAAATGAAAACTTGCATCATAAGAGTGAGATCTACTATGTCGTCTAACCCAGAATACTGTGAGGTAGGCAAATACTTTCTGGCAGGAAACCTGAAGATGGTCTTTGGGAGAAATAGACCAGCTTAGAAAAAAAATTAATGACACTAACACACCTCAATACATAACCCAGATTACTATTTAAATCATCACAAAATACATCGCTATACATAAAGCTATTTTTCACTTAGCTGTTTTGATGCCTCTTATAGAGACAATCAAGGATTATTTGAAACTGAAAAAGAAAATGTCTCCAGTATGAGAGAAACAAAATTAAGTGGAAGGGGGAATCTAAGAAATATGGAGTTATTGAGAATCTGCTATGTGGCAGGCAGATTTTGAATTCTGAGGAAATTACATGAACAAAACAAATGTCACTGCTGTCATAGGGCGTATATTCCGTGGAAATGGGAAAGTAAACATTAAGCA